CCATACCAGTGCACCTAAATTGTATACTAGCTCTTATAGTATATTCCGTAATCTTCTAACACTTGCCTTCTTGAAGTTCCTTCAGCCACTCATTTTATGAAGTAAGTTACAAACTTCTTTATATTGATTATTGTGCTCAGAATAATGGCTAGTGTCTCTCTTAAACTGTGCTGCTTTGATTACTTTAGAGGCTGTCTATCAGCTCAGAGTGGACTCTTTGCATCCTAAATGAAACCCTCCATTTCTGTTAGGACCACCAGAATTATACTTTGTGCTCAATATCAATAAAATGAAAATCTAAAGTGCATTTTTATAAAGTGCTTCACTGAAATAAAAGTGATAGCATTCATTCTCTAACTGGCAAGCAAACTAATTAAAAGATTATCACAGATTCCTTAAGCCAGCAAATCTTTCAATATATTTTAAATTACATTTTGATACTATAATTTTTATTTCCATATTGAAAAAGTTAACATGCTCACTAACTTAAAAAGTTGAATAATTGACAATAGAATTCCAAATAATGTAAATTAGCAGGTGCTGCCACACTTGGAAAAGAGGGGAAAAAAGGACACTATTTAAAAAAATGATGATAATGCAATCAAAAGTATAATTTTCAGTAAGATTATATGTTTTCAGGAGCATTGTGCTACTACTACTAATTTTAAGTGTATTGTCTTGTATAACAATGTTAAGTATAACCTGATATTGGTAAAGAGTTTTATGATACAAATTTCTACTAATTATTTTATCATTAAAAATTAAACTACCATTTGCCAAAGTTTAGGTGCAGTTCTTCAACTGAGTGTATATACTATTGAGGATGTTTTCTGAACTTTAAATAGAATGCCATTTTACTTTTCTAATGATTTATTTTCTTATTTTTAAAACTATACAATAGACATTTCAACCTGTGTTGTAGGTCTGTCATTAATGTTGCAACTAATTTTTGTCTCAGAATTAGTACTTTTCAAAAAAATCCTATGTTGAAATTTCAGTTTAATACTTGAATTAGCCCATATTTGGTAACTACATGTTTTTCTTTTTCTTTTTTTTTTTTTGAGTTGGAGTATCACTCTGTTGCCCAGACTGGAGTGCAGTGGCCGCTCCCGGCCACCGCAGCCTTGACCTGCTGGGCTCCGGTGATCCTTCCACCTCAGCCTTCCAAGTAGCCGGGATTACAGGCATGCACTACCACGCCCAGCTGATTTTTTTGACTTATTGTAGAGATGAGGTCTCGCTGCCCAGGCGGGTCTCGAACCCGCGGGCTCAGGCAATCCACTCACCTCAGTCTCCCAAAGACGCGGGATTACAGGCTGAGCCACCGAGCCCGGCTACTACATTTTTTTCTAATCAACCACTCTAAAGCTGCATTTCCTGATGACTGTAATCATCAAGGCAAGTTTGCTTAAAGGATTTGTTTGACCGTCCATAATAAACGATTAGAGAGAGCTTTCAAGCCAAATGAAAATGAACATCAGATTTGTTTGTGGGTCAGATGTGTCCACGTTGTGCAAAAGGATAAAAGATTAGATGTTTTTGCTAAAACTCATGGAAAATAGCAGGAGTTTGGCAGTAGATGGTGACAGTGAAGGCCCAAACAAAAGAGTTTTAAATCATAATATCAGATTCTTTTAGTTGAAAGAGTACTTAAATGTCCTCAAATCCAATTATTCATTTAAATATTGTATCTTCTTATTGTTTGAACACCTATTTGCTCCTAATGCAGTCCATTGCATCTTTCTTTTTTTTTTTGAGTTGGAGTCTCACTCTGTCGCCCAGACTGGAGTGCAGTGGCC